ATACATTTGAAGACTTAACGCAGAACTAAAATTTCGACTCGGGCGGATCTAGTTATTAGCTGAGAGCTAATTCTTCTTTTCCGTATAGAGTCACAAGAGTTAGCTTCCACGGCTAAAAACTAGACCTGGTAACGAAATTTCACTTGTGCCATATAGATAGCTAGTTTTTTTTTTACCTTGACAGCTAATTCTTTTTTTCCCGTGATCGCGTTTCAGATTTTGTCGGGTATTTTTCCGCCTTCCTCTCCCCGAAATGCGTCGAGCGCGCATTGAAAATTTTGTTCCATCGTGAAAGCTTCGCTCCTCCGCGATATCCATTCGCGATATCTCGCTGTTCGTTCTAATCGACTTGTCGATCCGTGCGCGGCGAACCGCGTCGCGCCTTCGATCCCGATTAATTATTTCTGCCGCGGGACCGGAAGGACGTCACTGTCAGAACGGAATAAATGGGAATCTCGGCGTAGCCGCGGTTCGCCAGGCGATGATTCGCGCTGACGCGATACAAACGGGAGATATAATTAGAGAGGACGACGGCGCGCGGCGGGTGCGGCTTACGCGCGAGGAAAGGAGACGGGCGGTGTCGCGAGAGGAGAGAAACGGCAAAGTGTCGAGATAGGAGCCGTCCTCTCGAATTAAAGGAAATAATTAAAATCATGACTCGCGCGGGGAGGGGGGCAGGGAAGGAGGGAAAACCCCCGGCGCGAATCGGGTCTCGGTCACGAGTGTCGGGATAACAAAGTTTCACCGGCCGTCGCGCCGTTCGCGTGCGCGACGGCAAATGAAATTTCGTTAGCGCAGCTTTCATTACGCGCGACGAGCTGGATCCCGGATTAATAGCGTTTTAATTATAGCTTCGTCAAGATAAACGCGAGGACAAACGCGTCGTGTTGTGTACTGTATCCGCGGAACTCGTAGCGCAAACGCATAACGCGACCTCGCCGCGTCGGCCTTCCACTACACGACGATAATTTGAACGAGGAATTTTTGTTGGAAATTTCAAGGCACGGCGGGCGTTAACTTCCGGATTACAGAGCTCTCTCCCTCAGATTTTCCGAGAAGATTCCGAGATTAAACATACTCGCAATTTCGATGTTCCGGCTTTTGTGTTGGATTTATGAAAAAAGCTTTTATGTTGGAACATTTATAATATGCTCTGCGGGCTCGGACGAATGTATAAAAAATTGAGCAAAATCTCAAATCCCCTTGAATATTGCAGACACGCGTATTTAATGAATATTGTATATTTGGATCAAACGTTTATGCACGGGTTCTCACACGCATATTCGGATTATCAGGCTCATGAGCCCGTATAAAATATTAATCGTCCTCGAGCGTACCTAATGAGGAAAGCTCCCCCCCTCCCCCTCCCCCGGTGGAAGCGGCGAATTTATTTAAAATGTTACAGACGCAACGCTCAATGTCGAAGGGTACTTTGAAACTTGTCGAGTCACGAACTCTATTACGAAGTTGTTGGATCATTGTTAGATTGATTAATGGACAAAGTAACGAGAGAAATGCCAATGTCTCCTCCGTTGTACACGACATACATCTTAGTTCAATGGTTCTCAATCCTGTTACAGAATTATTCATGTATACACGACGCGGCTACGTAGGAACAATATATCTACAAAAAGAGAATCCATTGCCAGTTCGTGACAAAAGTACGCACCGCCGAGATATGTTCATAACTAAACGACAGACGGAGAAGAGGAATTTGCTGATGCACGGCAGATTTTACGTCGTCGCAACAAAATCTGTCGTAACTTCATTATCGTCGCAACGAATATGCAACGATGGTTTCGCAGCAAAATTATTTTTCTCCGTGCGGAGTTGAAATAAAAAAAAAAAAAAAATTAACAACTTGGAAATCACTAGGAAATTCGAATTTTAGAAAAGTAAGATAGCTCCATCTTTCTTTATTTAGTACAATTATGGAAACTTCAAGGAAGTAAAATATTGGGTCGATGTGAAAAAGTTCCGTTTCTTAATCAAAATGTACATGTTATATTTATTTATTGAAAACTACAATCAGTTAAGTATACGTCGTTTCGTTCGACGGCCTGCCGTCTCTTCGATAGCCGCATGAACCCGCGTAGAAATTCTAGGATTTCCGAACGAAGAACTGATTAACCGATGAAGAAACGGAGCGGAATTTTGCGTCTGATCAATAATAACAATGTCGCGAGGAAAACCCACGTCCTTCTAAAGTCGATGTCACGCTTTCTCAAGAAGAATACAGCAACTTTTCAAGAAATATCTAATCAAGGCCCGAGCTGCACGAGGAGCTTTAAACGCAAAAAAACGTCTACTTGGGCGGAAAGCTTATACCTCCTCGCAAATAGCGGATTCGGACCGAAGTGGATGGATGAACGTGCGGAAATTCACGGCACAGTGTCGTCGCCGAAACCCCGTGTTTTCTCACAGCGCGAGCGTTTCAAACTTTAATGAGGTGACGAAAGAATCCGCCGGATAAAACAGCACGCCGGACAAAGATGGATTCGCGTCGTGGGCGTCGGAACGTCGTAAAGATGAAGTTTAAAGTTCGCTGGCATTTTCGCCGGAGAATTCCCATCAAAGTTGCGCGAAACTTAATACTACCGTTAAAAACTCCCTCGCGCGCGGAACCGGCGAAAATCTCGGCCGGATGCTCAATGACACCTCGACGATAGAAGACGAAGGTAATCCCAGCAGAGGATACGAATTGAAGGGCGCGCGGCGAAATTGGTTTATTTTTCGTAGACCTGCCGTATGTGTGTGTATTTTTCACAGTCCACTCAAACGAGACACTTCATCGCCGTTGGGATGCATCCAATCGGATCGGATCTACCGTTGAAACTATAGAGATAGAATTAACACAAATGCAATAAATGAAAAAAAAAAAAAGAGAGAGAAAACATTGAAAACACAACGCGTGATAAAGCGCGCTTGAAGCCTCGGGAATAACGGTTTAATCTATGATTTTTATATCTTTCGTTGGATTTTTGTATTTTTACGAGAAGCTTCGCATGCATTTCGCCGAGGTGTTTCGCCACTCTTATCGGCGCACCGCAGCTTTTCAAATAGACGAGAGAGATATAACCGGCGTCGTTGCGTATGAACCGTGTAATTTGTATAATATATTTATACAATTAACCGTCTCTTCCCTCTCTGCCTCCTCCTTGTGGCTTCAGAGGCGGAAATATCCCTTTGTGCGAACGCGAACGAAATTCCGCAAACCGACGGTTGCACCGCACCTTGAGAAACGCTCGTTTGTTCGAAATACGATCTCTCTCTCTCTATCTCTCACTCATTCTCATTCTCTGCACACGTGCGACATTAAAAACCATTTATGAGCGATTTCTCGCTAGTCTCGAAGACCGGCCGCGTAAACCTCGCAAGGGGAGAGGACTCGACCACGGGCTTCCGACGGAAGAAGGATCTCTCGCAAGCTCGCGCGTGCGCAACTCGGTATCTCCTTCGCCGGGAATTTCCATAGCGCGCATTAAGGGATGCCATAATAGTTTTACCTAGCGAAGCACCGCGGGGATATCCCAGTCGTCGCGTACGTGACAATTGTGTCGCCGTTCCCGGCGGTTGAGAAGGGGAAGGGGTGGAGGGGGGGGGGG